CAGGTAGGCCACACCCCTGGGGAAACTCCCCCTAGACTGACCGGCCGCTTAGGACGCAGTCATGTGATCCATCATGGGAAACACCACTCACAAGTGAAGTCCAGCCAAGTTGACACATCTTCAACTATCACAGATGCCACGCTGAAGGCACTCACTCGGCTATGCCAGGAGAGTTGGAAGACAGCTACCTGGCCAACTGACTAAAAGAGATCCATATTTGTATCCATTCTAAAGAAAGGTGATCCCACATAATGTGGAAATTATCCAACAGTATCATTACTATCATATGCAGGTAAAATCTTACTGAAGATAATTCAAAAACAGTTGCAGCAGTATATTGATAGAGAGCTTCCAGAAATGCAAGCTGGATTCAGAAGAGGACGTGGAACAAGGCATATCATTGTTAATATCCGATGGATCTTAGCTGAAAGCAAAGAATACCAGAAACATGTTTACTTATGTTTTATTGACTATGCAAAAGCATTTGATGTGTGGATCATAACAAATTATGGATAACATTAAGAAGAATGGGAATTCCAGAGCGCTTGATTGTACTCATGAGGAACCTGTACATAGATCAGGAGACTGTCGTTCAAACAGAACAAGAGGATACTGCATGGTTTAAAATCAAGAATGGAGTGCGTCAGGGTTGTATCCTTTCACCATACTTATTCAACTTGTATGGTGAGCAAATAATCCAAGAAGCTGGACTATATGAAAAAGAACATGGCATCAGGATTGGAGGAAGACTCATTAACAACCTGCAATATGCAGATGACACAGCTTTGCTTGCTGAAAGTGAGGATGACTTGAAGGACTTACTGATGAAGATTAAAGACTGTAGTCTGCAGAATGGATTATACCTCAATATAAAGAAAACAAAAATGCTTACAACTAGTCCACTAAACAGCTTCACAATGGGTGGAGAGAAGATTGAAGTTGTCAAGGACTTCATATTACTTTGTTCTATGATCAACATCAGTGGAAGCAGCAGTCAGGACATCAGATGATGTATTGTATTGGGCAAATCTGCTGCAAAAGTCCTCTCTCAAGTGATGAAAAGCAAAGATGTCTCCTTGAAGACTAAGATGCGCCTAACTCAAGCCATGGTATTTTCAGTCACCTCTTACCTGTGAGAGCTGGACAGTGAATAAGGAAGACCAAAGATCAGTTAATGCTTTTGAGTTGTGGTGTTCCAGAAGAATCCTAAGAGTACCATGGATTGCTAAATGGAGTAATAAATCTGTTTTGGAAAAAGTGTAACCTGAATGCTCCTTGGAAGTGAGAATGGCCAGACTTCTTCTCACCTACTTTGGTCATGTTGTCAGAAGGAACCGTTCTCTGGAGAAGGATATCATGCTTAGTAAAGTGGAGGGTCAATGAAGAAGGGGAAGGCCCTCAATAAGATGGATTGACACAGTAGTTACAATGATGGGCTCAGGTATGGCAAGGATCATGAGGCTAGCACAGAACTGGGCAGTGTTTCATTCTTCCACGCATGAAGATGCTATGAATTGGAGACAACTCGACAACATCTAACAACTACAATAATTTATGTACAGTGAAATACACAAAACTAAAGTGACATGGGTGAGTGCTTCCTCCCCTCCCCCCAGTGTTCCCTCCCCTCCCCTTCCATTCCTGGTAACCAGCAAAGA